TATGCTTAAGCTTGCCATTTTAAGGTTATATAGTAATAGATATGTTTATGGAATTGTAGTTGATCGTGTTTGATATTTTTTTTAGAATATTAAATTTAAAAAACTTAAGCGTAAAATAAAATTTTGTATATTAGGTGTAACGAAGCTTATAGGACAATACTAGTATTAATAAATCGTTTATTTTGATAGAATATTTTTGTAAATTGTTTCAAAAAAGTAATTTTAAAGGCTGTCTGCAATAAACACTAAAGTAAAGTAAAAGATAATAACGAAGAAAAATTTTGAAATATCTTATTAAATATTAATTTATTTAAAATTTTTAATTATTATTATTTTTTCTAACATATTTATTTTATTTCATTTCATATATAATTACAAAATATAAATCGAAAGAAAAACACACTTTCACACATAAATATTATATATATTCTTCCTCTTTTGACATGACAACTTAATGGATTTTAATCTGTCACATAGTTCAGTGACTACATACTTGACGTTCCCAACGTTGGGAACGATGTCTCAGTGTTTGGTACTTGTAGTGCTCATATACGTACAAATGTACGTTTTATTGTGAATGCGCACAATACCCAGGGAGGAGAACTCAATTTGACGACCACAAGAAAAATCACATTTGCGCACAATTTTACTTTGATTGATTATGAGTGAAAATTCATAGGAAAACTTACTAAAAATATCAAATATAAAATATGTGCTTTAGATAAATTGTGTGGGTGAAAAGGACAATACAAATAGATATATACATATAGTATTTTAAAAATTGTGGGGGACTATTTTTGAAATTCGCGTTGCGCACACAATACACACTGATCAGATAATATAAAATATATTTTCAATTAAAAAAATAAAAATTAACTTCGATATTTAATTTAAAAAACGAAAAAAAGAAACAGAAAATTAAAAAAAATTAATTTTCAACATCTTTCCCCAATTCTCATACTATTATATACATTTCCAAATTAAAATACGTCAATCAACGCTTTCGAAACATAAATACTGGAGTAGTACTATATATGCGAGTACAGATGGATGTGTGTATATGAAAGACTAATTGACAGCAGTACTTTTTTGATAGACATTTCTAAATAAAGAAATTGGATGGGCTTGCACTCGTCTAAGGTGCAATTAAGGTGCATTCTTTACTTGATCAAATTTCTTCAAGTTTTTTTTTTTTGTTTTGTGATTAATAATATTATATTTTTTTAAAATTCGCAGATTTATTTTTAGTACTTTTGTTAGATATTTGGACTTGTAACTATTTTTAGATACTTAAGGAAATAATTATTTAAATTTTAATTAAAATAGCAAGTTTATATTGCATATATATAATTTTCTGGGAAATTAAAATTTGTGAAAATTAAACTTATAACATATTAAAAAATCTGTAAAAAATACGTTTTAACTTAACGAATGTGATCTACTAAACACCACACTTACCTAACATAGCTTCGTGTGACTTTTTTCTTCTTCCGAGGCTTAAATGATCACTTCAAGGGAGCAAAAACTTAACGAATGAGGTCCATCAAGCCCATACTTATTTAACATGGCTTCGTGTGATTTTTTTCTACTTCCGCAAACAAAACTATCAATTTAAGGAAGAAGCTATTGACAAAAAAAATCATCAGATGTGCTCAACCAAACACTGTACTTGCCTATTATAGCCTTGTGTGCCTTTTTGTTTACTTCTAAAGCTTATATGATCACTTTAAGGGAGATGCTTTTTACCAAAAACTCAGAGAAAGTAATCAACCAAACACTCTTCTTATTTAACATGGCTTTGTGTGATTGTTTTCTTCTTCCGAGGCTTAAATGATCATGTCAAGGAAAAGTTTTTAAACAAAAAATCAACTATTACGATGGACCGGACATCGTACTTACTTAACGTGGTTTTACATGGTTAACGTGTGATTTTTTTCTACTTCTAAGTATAAAGTGATCACTTCAAGGAAGAAGCTTTCTGCAATAGTGATGGACGAAACATCGTACTTATAGAACATAGGCCTGTGTGACCTTTTTCTATTTCTTAAATTAAATTTATCACTTCGAGGGGGAGTTTCTAGCCAATTGTAGCTATAAAAGAATATTCGAAGTAAGAGTTATAGTACTTTCTACGAAAACTATATGTAAGATTGGATTAAGCGTTAGCAAAATTAAAATGATCAATGGAACCTGTTCTAAATGAGATAAAATCAATTTTGATTATTCAATCCATTTGAGAGGGTTTTATTTAAATATTCGTATATGTCCTATTAATCTTCAATCTTAAACAATAACATTTGTAGTTCTTCAAAATTTAAACAAAATTGGTGGGAACTAACCCTCCAAGTCATTTCAGTTACTATGGCAGCCCAACTATTATGTTTCAATATAGCCCTTAGCAAGTAATACTCGTAGTTTATCAAAGTTGTCATCAAAATCGATGCGATAGTAGTCGCGTGGGTTTGTTGTCAAGAAATACATATATATTTGCTTGTATATTTATAGATAACATACCATATATTACATTTATATTAACAAAATCTTTTTTTATTCTTAAAAAATAATTAATTGGAGTAAATCTTTTTGTTATGGGAATGTTTTTAATCTGCCCATATACAAAAATATTTATCGATCAACATCAATAAAAAAGATCAAGTAAAATATTTTGATTAGTACATTTATGTTTTTTTTTTGTTTTGTGAATTGCTGGAAGGTGTTTTACAAAATGTTTTCGTTTATTGTTTTTTATTTTTATTTTGACTCTTCGCATACAAATATTATGCAATATGAACTTTTGCTGGCTTTTAATCTCATTTAAGACTCATTAAAATAAGAGCAATCAAATTCATGGATCGGTAGATGATCGATCGATCAATAATCGTTTGAGTTCATTTGCGATAAAACACTGGAGTGGAGTGAAGTGAAGTGTTTTTTTGTAAATACTTTTGTTTACGCATAAAAACATTTTTCATTCAATCAACATGTCGATCATTTCGTGTGATTGATTTCCTTTGGGGCAAAAACTCATAAAAACAGAGAAAATAAAAGATTGCACCAAATGAGCTACAGTAGAGCTCATAGAGGCAGGATTTGGATTTGGGAATAAAGAATTTACCAACTACAAACATAAATACGAGAACAAATTGCTTTTTTATTAAATGGAATTTTATGATCATAAAATTTTTTTTTCCTAAATTTTTGAATTGGTTTTTTTTTTTCGTTATAAATAAAAAGCATTGAAATTGATAGGGAATTCATTAAAATAAAAAAATAGTTCGTGATCTTGGTGAAGGATTGTTTAACGCTGGCGGCATTATCATTTAACATTAAAATTGTTGTATTTAAGCGTTAAAACAGAACTCTAATCGTTTATACACAAATGAAAACCATGAAATATTTTACTTCTCAAAGCATTTAACACTTCATATAAAAACATTTGTATTTTCTTTTAATTTAACGAGATTCTCAGTTGTTTTTTCGCTTTAGGGGGGTGGGCGTGCAACGATTTTAATCATTTAATGATAATTAAAGTGTATTTAGATTGATTGCCAGATATTAAAATGAAACGCTATTTTTATTGCACTTGTAATCTCCTTCCAGCATGTTTTGTTTAAAGAAAATTTGTTAATTTAATGACTACTTTTATGTTATCTTTTTATTATCAAATAATAATTATCAGTACTTTTTTTTACAAGGGTTACTCTTTTAAGCATAAGCAACCCTAAGTGTTGTTTGATGGTAGCTGAAATTTTCCTCTGAGACTGTGACATTTCTATAAATATGTATATAATTCTGTCCTAGGTGAAATACAGCGCCTCTGTTATCGTTTCAAATCGAACTATATGAAGGGAATGAACAATGATGCTGTTCCATGAGAAATCCCATTATAAAGCCTCTGTTCTCAATAATAAAGACTCTATGATAGGTTTAAATCGGACTTTGTTAAAAGTATGGGCAGCTTTATCGATCCATAAATAAGTTTTATATTTCAATTCGAGTTCCGATAACAAAATATTTGTTCTCAATAACAAAATCTCTGTAATCAGTTCAAAATGAACTTTGTTCAAGGATGTCAGTCCATGAAAAAATTAACTGCTTATATTGTTACAAATCCATGCCCTCAGTGTATTACCAAATAACAATTTCCGAATATAGTGAATGCTAGTTGCTGGAATTTTTTGCCCAGAAGACATTATACCAAGCCCCACCAATGATAAATGATAGCATATCTTACCCATATATAATAAAAATAACTAGATACTATAGTCCAATTAATAAAATATATATAATCCGTAGGGCTAAGTATATATTTTTTTCTGGCATATCTCTGATGACTAGTCTTCACCGAGTCCGGATATTATCATTTGGCAATACACTGATGGCATGGGTCTATAACCATGAAAATGGTTATCGAGTTATGTCAGTGACGAAGTTTCAGTTAATAGATAACTGAAGGTTCGAACACATGAATAATGAAATTTAAAGTAGTTTTGGTCTAATTCATATCAATGTAGTTAGTTAGTTAAATTTGGTGGAGGGAGGAACGAATCCTTCTCAATTAGCTAAGGAAGCCGTTTTGAATCTGCAACTCTTTGTAATAATGTGTGGAAAAGAAAACGTTCAGCTAGAACCAGCCAGAGGGGTTATAAAGATAAGAGTCTGACCAATACTAATGCTGGAGATATCGCTGAATGTGTTATAGAACCTTCGTCTATAACACACCATAGAAACTTAAACCTAGTTCTGATCAAATCTGGACATATATACAGTAGGTGTTCTGGTATGCTTTCTTCGAGAACTGGTAGACACGCAATGCAGAATATATCATAGGGTAGGTCAAGTCGTCCTATGGTCCAGTGTTCTGTCATATCAGTGTAATGCAATGTTTTTTTTCTTACGTGTTAATGTATATGGGACTTATTTATTAAGTGTTATGGTATTTTTTTTTTAGAAAATGTGTATAAATTATGCTAATCTATTTTTTTTTTTACTTTTTCTAGGCACTCCTATTAACCGCCTGCCTATAATGGCAAAATCTGTACTCGATCTCTATGAATTGTACAATTTAGTTATAGCACGCGGTGGTTTAGTGGATGTGATAAATAAAAAGCTATGGCAGGAAATAATCAAAGGTCTGCATTTGCCATCGAGCATCACTAGTGCAGCGTTCACATTACGTACACAGTAAGTAACTGAAAATTATAAAAAAAAAAACGTATTTAAATTGTTTTTTAAAAAGATTTCAAACATTTTACTAATAATTTTCGCGACCACAAAACGCTTGACGACAACATGTATATAATTTCGCGCAAATAACTAAACCGCGTTTTAAAGGCTGTGTGCTGTCTCTTAGGTTTATGCGCAGTGCTGCCAAGTTTTTATTTAATTATTATTTATTATTGAATTTTTTAATTTGCAAAGCCATAAAAGGCAATGCTACAAAACCACACAGAAAAACCAAACGAAAAAAAAATAACAAAAAGACGTGAAAACTCAATGTTGTTGAGCTCACCTCGTCTGGTTCGGTTGACAGCCGCAAATGTGGAAAATTTTATTGGCTAACAGCAAGCGATTTGGCCAATTTTCCACTCCGCAGTTAAGCTCAGTGGTGAAACGCATGCAACAATGTTGTGCACTGTTTTCAGTCTGAATTTTATATATTTTATGGATTTTAAGTTTTTGACTTGAAACTTAAAACCTTTTTTTCTGTAGCGTCTTACTTTACTGGTGAGATATACATCAACATCAACATCACCAACAACAACAGCAGCGGTAACGTTAACGTCGTCAACGTCGTCAACTGTAACGACAAGGCAACACCCAAAATGCCACAAACTGCGATTGTTGTATTCGACGTCCCCACCAACTGACAATATTTCTAACTATTTAACGCATAAATAATTTCATATTTAAATCTATTGAAAAAGTACTAAAATAAAGTATTTTTATTTCAATGTTTCGCTGCATATACGTTCCTATTTATTTCTTATGATTTCTACAATAATTATGCAAATACAGCAGCTCGAGACGTGAGTCTAACTGCGCCAGGCTTGAGGTTAAGCCGAAGGAGGCCGCCACATATAATTGCTAATAAAAAATAAAAAATGCTACATAATTTTAGTAAATATTATTTTTATTAGTAGCAGCTTTCGTAATTAGTTTTCTTTTTTTATTGTATATTTTAAATTCAATTGAAAATCATTATTATTATACATAAATTGTGTTGAGCACTTATGCAAAATATTACAATATTAATTAAAGTTTCCATTATTCACGAGCTATTTTGTGGTCTTGTGTTATGCTTTTATATAGTTTTAAAAAAAAATATATATTCACAATTACCTATTATTATTATTGCACAACTGCACCGGCTATCCGTACATACGTATAGAGTAATATAGTATTTAGTAAGTACAACTGTGTATGGATACTATCTTTTTTAGGAATTCGGTAGTTTTGTTTAATTTTATGGACTGAGTTTAATTAATTGGCTTGCCACCTATAAATCGCTCTATTGTGCTTTTTCTTGTTGAGATTTAAGATAATTTTTATGTGGCACACTCAAAGGTTTTCCCGGTTTTAATGGTCATTAATATTAAAACACAATAATAATAATCTATTAAAATTTTATAATATATATAATATACCACAAGCTCTTAGTTAAAATTTTCACTAAATCACATAGGCTAACATTGCACTTCTCAGTTAAAAACATTACTTAAGTCCTAACAATATTGTTTTTTATAATTAATTTTTATTATAAAAACAAAAGAAAATTGTTTTTTTTTTTTGCTTCTCTTTAAGAATAAAAATTTATTAATTTTATAGGTAATATATTACGGAGCATAAAAATTAAATCACTTTTAATTAAGTACTTAATAATATGTTATCTATATGTTAAAATGTGGTTAAACTAAATCACTTTTATGAGTATCTTGCTGAGAAGTAACAAATTTCCATTAAAATATTTTCATAACAATTATTGTATAAATAAATCAGTCTAATTAGTTACTGATATTTAATGAAAGATAAAAAGAAATCTCTATATGGGATAGAAGTGATTAAAATTGGAGAAAAGTTAACTATAATAATTGTGTGAGTTTTAGTTTAACTATACAGTTACTTTGGATACTGTTCAAAATCAATCATTAGACGAATCTAAAAGATTTGTTTATACTACGTTCAGATATGTTCTTTTGTGCCTAACTTTATCCATACCATATCTATATAAAGATATAGGTAGTTATTTACTCCTATAGAACTTTTATATTACTATATAATATATATTTAGAATTTACCTAAATGCACAAATTCTGACATATTTATTACTAAGTTAGTGTTGACACAAAGTCTTCTCTCCGAGACCAAATTCAAATCGAAATTTCACTCCTCAATATTTTTCTCAAAATTTTGGTTTACTTTGAAAACAACAACAATTTCGAATTCTAGTTGAGCATGAGTTTCTGTTCTGCTCAAAAAGTGTTCGGATTTTGTAAATAAAACACACAAAATTAAATTTTATTCCAAATTTATTTTATCTCCTTCAAAATATGCTCCTTCTGAAGCGATACACATATGCCAACGCTTAACCCAATCTTCCATACACTTTTCGTAGGCCCGTACAGGTATGGCTTTTAGTTCCTTCAGCGAATTCTCTTTTACCGATTCAATCGACTCAAAACGCTTACCACGAAAGGGCAATTTGAGTTTCGGGAACAGGAAAAAGTCGCACGGCGCCAGATCTGGCGAATATGGTGCCTGAGCGATGACAGTGGTGTCGGGTTTGGTCAAAAAATCGCGTATAACAAGAATTTTCCATAGTAAAAATCGCTGAATACACTTGAGGTAGTTTCACATTAACAGCTGCTGTAAACAAACTAATTGACAGATGGCGCTCAAATTTGTACCATATGTCAAGAAAGGGTGTACCAACATAACAAAAGAAAATTTTTGAAAAAGGTCTATTACTTAAGTAATTAACAAACAACAAAATCCGGATACTTTTTAAGCAGAAAGTAACATAACCCTAACCCAAAAGAATTTGGTTGGAGTTTTTGATGGAACCAGACTGAAATAGAGGAAATGCATCAGGGCCTGGTTTCTTATATTTCATTTAATTGTCCCAACTGGTGATGTTTTGCTTATTTATTATGTTGTGTCTACTATATATAAATATATATAAATAAGACAGAAATTTAGGGAAATCTTAAGTTAATGTCTTAATAATATTATAATTGATGATAATTTAATTATTTATTTCCTGAATGGCAAATCTAATATATGTAAGTTATTCAGTCTTTCAACATATTTAGTTTCATACACTCCCATTTTCTGAATGGGAAATCTAATACATGTAAGCTTTACAGTTTTCGAACATATTCACTTTCATTCTGTAGCGTCAGAGCTAATGAATGAGATATATTATCAGTTATATATCTCATCATAACGGAACATTTGATATATTATATAAGCTACATCTAGATCTTTATTAATATGTTCGTTTTAAATAAAGCAGGAACTCTGCATAATAATAAGGGTTCCTTATAAGACTCAGATTTTGGACCTTTAAATCAGTCAATTTTTTTGTTTCTCAGTTTGTTTTAGGTTTTTGCTCAGCCTGAGTTTCACTCAGTTTAATAACTAAACCAATGTGTTTATAAGTACTTAGTTTTTAAGCAACTTGATATGCAATGTCAGAATCGCTAATGACAGCCATTTTGAGCGCTTTTAGCAAGAAAATGCTAAATTTCCATCAAATTTTAAAATCTAAAAAAATTTTTGTTGTTGTCTTTTCATATCTATTCGAACAGTTCTAACTTTTAAATAGTTTCTTTATGTCATAAGACGCGGCACTTTCGATAAAAAACAATTAACTTTAAAATCTAACGTTTTCTGTTTATGAAAAAAAAATTTAAATATTATAAAGAAATAACTATGTAATGGAAAATAAGCTGAATATTACCAAAGTTTCACAATACTTCATACATCAATATTTATAAATTTTTGTTCCCCATAAAATCCATCTTAAAATATATATAAATCAATATTTTAAAACATAAATTCTTTTCCTGTAATTATTATTATTTTTTTTTTTTTTTGATAGTATTTGTTGCATCTATTTTTATATAAAAAATGGATCATCTTCTTCCTTAATTACGAGTTTTTTAATTGCTTTGGGCCACTCAAATATTTTCATTTGGCAATAGAATAGCTTGCATATATGGTATATAAGGTATTTGTATAAGTGAAACCAATTTAAAATAAATAAAATTTAGTAAAATGAATAATGTTGTAAAACTATAATAATAATATCATAATATGTATAAGTGGAAAATAACTATTCGATATTAATTTATTAAATAACAAAATGAATATAAACAAGTAATTAAATTAAATATTTAAATAAAATTCAAATAAGTAATTTAAATTTTTGAGGTAAAAAGAGTTTTTGAAACATTTTTTAAAAGGGTTAATGTTTGTTGAAAAATAGTTACCAATAATAATAATTTTAAAGAAAATTTTTATGAATCTTTAAATTTTCAAAATTCCATGAAATAATTATTAACTGCTAATTATGCCTAATATTTCTTAAGTTAAATTTCTCCATGGTTTTATATTATTGTTAAACTATATCCTTATAGGCCAGATTAACACATTCGAGATGAAATATTTGCGAAGAAAGTTTTCAAAACATTTTGAGTTATTTATTATCATAATTGTATTATTACTAATTATTTTCAACTTGGGGTGTTTGCACTGAGTCAAATTTTCTGGATATAAAGTAGAACTGATCCTAAAATAGGATCGAATCTTATTTTTTCATTCGATATAAGATGCCGAACTAAGTTATATCTTTTGGGAAAAATCCCATAACTTGCTTTAAGGTCTTACTTTTTTGGCTATAAAACTCTATTAAAGCTCTATTAAAATAAGTTCCCAGTTTTGTAATGTGATAATTCTACCCACCGTTTGCTGTCAAAATGTTTGCAATTATTTATAAGTTGCTATTATTTAGAGTTATAGACCCCTTAAGTTGTTTTACGTTTTAGGTTTAGAATTTCTATAAGCGATGATGGTTGCATAAACTTGCATAAACTTGAATTTGGTTATTATATCTCACTTGAAATCGGTATATATCTAATGGTGTCATGACCCTTGGATGTCAAATTAACGATGTTGGTGTG